ACTGCATAACTCCAGGACTTGCAGCATCTCTTTGGTTTTATATCTCCCCATTTCAAATGAAGTAATAATACTCATCACTTTCTGCAAAGAAACCATCTATGAAGTAATGAAATAATGTGCAATGTTTGATCTCAGACTAGAGCTAGCTTTCTGTCCTTTGTTCAAGAGTTATTATTATGTAAAGACACAATATAAATAGCCAAATGCAGATACTCTCAGACATTACACAGACATCTTGCTAAATATTTGTGTGGCAGAGTTTTGAATAGGTCTTCTTTTCTCCTCTGTAATGAAAAGAGTCAGATAACCTAGCAAAATGTCTATAAATGCGCCTCTTTGCTAAGAGGAAGAAGGCACCAGCCTGGGTGGTTTGTAAAGAAGGTTGCCGTGGATATTTTTCTTAACAGTTTTCCATTCAGCCTTCCCAGAAGCAGCTAGTGCTAATGCAGAAAAAAAAAATATTGTTTGTTTTTCTCTTTTGTTTTGTTTTAGCAAGGATGAGGCTTTGTCTTTTCCTTTTATTTGTTTTGCTGCTCTGCTACAACTGCTCTGGCACCAGAGCAGCCTCTGCCGGAGTCAGAGGTGAGGTCATGCTTGACTGAAGAAATCTGAGATCAATTTGTTGTCTCATACTTCAACATTAAATGCAGCTTGAAATATAATTGTTAGTCTGTGCACTGTACGCTTTGAGGAAGTGTTCCAGTACCTGCAGCCTGGAGTGTGATTATTGGTGAGAAACCATGACTTGTACCCTAAACCAAAGCTACACAGAACTTTCAGGCTGGGACAGAAAGCATGGGAAAGTGAGGGGTTGTGAAGGATGGACAGAGCATGGAGAGGGGAAGAACAGAAGAGATAAGCGCTTGTGGTAGTCCAGACACTGAGTGACTCGAAAATCACCTTGAGCAAAATTTCAAAGTTCGCAAGATTGCAAACAAAAGTTGTTATGCATGTTATTTTCTCTTATTGTTGACCCTACTTCCAAGGTCCCTCCTCTTCTTGTATAGCTTCAGCAGTTCTGCTTTAGAGGTAAGGCGCCTGATAACAGTCAAGCAATTGAATTATAGTTTCATATTTTAGTGCCATTTGTTCACTAAATGAAGCAGCTGGGCAGGACAAAGTGGGTGGTAAGTGACCCTGAACTGGATGGCTATGGTCTTTGCATAGCTTCTTTGAGTGCAGCCCTCTAAATGCTGCCTGTGCTACCCTTGAATGCAATTCCATCAAATAGACAAAGATGTCATCACCAAATCCCAGTATTTTGATTCCACAGACTGAGAGTTAACAGGAACTCAGATGCTGTGGTGCTGATTCTAGGTCAAATACATGCTATGACAGTCTACTGTGACAGGTTGTGCTTCGGATGAAAGAAAAAAGGATCCATTACATTGAGAATAGAACTGGATAGAACTTATCTAATGATACAACCCTCCCTGGAGATGTGAGAGAGACCTAACAAATACACCTTCTCCATCTCTCCAGGTAGAATGACAGGATACGTGTTTGCTGTCTGGCCAAAGCACAAACCACTGCGTTTGACTTTGTGTTGTTGTTCATAGAAGCATTTCCCTAGCTGAGTGACAGCATGTGGCCCTGGGAGAGAGGGTTTTATTATCAGATGGGTGAAGGTATATATTCCTGATCCACCAATTTTCTACTTGTTTGACCTTAGATAATATTCTCAGCTTCCAGAACCCTGGGTCTTCTTAGTAGCACCAGGAACAGCATCATATTTACACTGAAAAATTGGTAGGAATTTAAAGTAAGGTGATGACTATAGCAGCTCCCATTTTATAAGTATTTATTTGTGCCAAACTCAGCAATGAGCGTCCATACATCATTGCGTTTAAACTTCACCATCTTGAATAACAATCCTTCTCTTTATTTTGAGAGTAAGGAACCTCAAAGAAGTATAGTCATATTGTGAAGGACAAACATCACTGAGTGAGAGAAATGCATTCAAACTCGGGTTTGGTTGAATCTACTGCCTTTGTTCTTCTAAGATGGAGCACAGTGATGATCTCACTACCATCTACTTCAGCCGTGAAGGTTCTTCATGACCTTTGGCACTGTGTGAGTGCTGTGTTGGTCTGTGTCACAGTGAAAATGTGGCTATGGAGAAACTGCTTAACCAAGTCCCTGCAGCAGTGCTCTGTCCTGGGTTCTGGAGCGAGGCTGACTTCCTTGCTTTAGCTTTAAATATTTCACAGTCCTTGAGGAACACTCTCAGGTTCTCTGAGGACTTTCCTTTCCCAAATAAATATGTGAAATACCCTTAAGCATTTATGTGAGGGTCCAATTGGTCTCCAGAGTGATTAAAATTCTAGCTATCCTTAAACAATTTCCTTTACCTATTTACAACAGAGAAAATAGTTTTATTTTGAAGAAAAAGTACAAGGCAGTCTTTGTGGCATAAAAAAATAAATTCTAATTTCAGAAAAAAATGCTTCTGCTTTATTACTTTTTCTCTAAGATCAAGACTGGGATTTTTTTAGTTAAATGGGGAGTTCATCCTCACAGTTAGAATGGTACCTGTGAGCTGTACCATAGTAAAGAAAGCTTTAGAGAGAGGTGATGTGCCCAAGTTATCCTGGTCCTGACCTTTACATATTCACTGATCTTCTGGTGTCAAGCTCTACAATGACCTCTGACAAAATCACAGGATTAGCACTAAGTTTCAGAAAGCTAAATTTAAGAGAGGAAAGTACATGAACTAGAGTAGTAACAAAAAATAACATGGAAAATTTGACATATTTAAATCAATACATGCCATTCCTGTCCTGTGACTATCTGTAGATCATACCCTATGGAGAAAGTAAGAAAAAGAGTATTTACATATTATTCAGGAGGAAATTAATTTCCAAATCAGGAAACCAATGATGTAATCAATTTTTGATTCTGAACAAGTGGTGACCAAGTGATGTCCAAACAAGTGCTGATGTCCAAGAACAATTACAAAGGATGTCCCAGCTCAAGATGAAAGAGAAAATTTATTCTTCTTTAAACTTGTTCTTTTGAGGCTTACAATGAATAAGATGGTAACCACCAATGTTGATGATGGCAACCATATTCTACAAATTTAAGAGCTAAGCAATTCTGAAAACACCCTCTCAGATGTGTCAAGGAATAATGTTTTACCTGCTCCATGGGCATCTCTTAGCCCAGGGAAATTAGTAAGCGAGCAATCGCAAGCAGTGTACATGTGTGAAACAGACCATCTTAGCAGATCTTTTTTGGGAAAATATAAGACTTCAGCTGTCACTTTGCCACTGCCTACCACGCAACTTTACTGAACACATTGGTATAGAGGGCTCAGTGCATTTTACAAGGTCACCTGTTCCATGCAGGAGAATTTAATCTAATGCCCGGCTTTCCTGACTTTTGATCTATTGTCCCCACTTTTAGGAGCATTGTCAGATTATTTCTACAAGTGGAAGATAATGAGAGACCAAATTTACCATCTCCATAATTTGCCTAATCCCTGGTGATGCCACCACCTTATCACTGCAACCGGTGCTTTCCACAATGACACACATGAATAAACAAGCACATGCAGACTCACTTGCATGAACATTCACTCATGGAGACAGAGGTACCGCTGAGGTGCACATACACTCATCCTCATACACATGTATGAACACACACCTAACTCAATTTCACATTTAGTCATACACACACACATACAATCACAGAAACATATACACTCAATATGTGTTTCTATTGGTCAGGCTGAGAAAAACTGTTTCTAATCATTAACATAGAAAACTTGCATACACACCTAAGAGTTTGATTATGGTAGTATTTCTTCTTTGAGTACATCCCAGAGATGGGCAATGTCTTTGCAGTATTACTCAAGGAGGTTGACAAGTCTCTCCTATAGCACGCATTGTATGTACTGCACTGTTTTTGTACAGTTCTTTCTCTGTTGGACCACATAGAGTGTAACTGCCTTCTGGTAAGAGCTATATTTACTTCCTTTTGTTTCTCCATAATCTTCCAGAAGACTTCTCATAATAAATGTTTCCTGAATGGAAATAAACTGCTGATGCTATCGCTACAAGTAGTAGAGGACAGTCATCCTACGGAGGAGGTGACACAAATTACTCTGCTACTATGATGTTTTTCCCTCACCTTGTGCTGCCTCCTCCTATGCAGTAAGATTAGTGAAACTCCATTCATCCCCTTAATGAACGTTTGAACTTACAGTCTGATAGACAAAGTGCTAAGTGCACTGAGAGTAACAAATCTTTCAAATCCTGTCTTCAAAGAAGTTATCATTCAGGTTAGACTGGGGTAGGAGATCAGAAATACAGCAATCCTTGAACATTGCTAGATGCAGTTAAGATGAAAAGAACTCAGTAAGGAGCTCTATGGGAATGAAGAGAAAGAGTAATAATCTGGGAGAGCTGCTTGCGAGCCTTTGGACTCTGCTCCAGGTGTTTGCCAGCCTCCAGCGTCCATCCATGGAATCAGGTCTTTAACTCAGTGTCAGAAGACAAGAGCCTGCCTACATCCCAAGCCCTCAGGAAACCCTTCACCTATATGAGACTAAGGCTGTCCACTGTCACTGGATTCTGTCCTATAGAAAGCCACATCAATTCTCGTGTCATCTTATACTGAGAGCAGGTTCAAATACTTTCTTTTTATCCTGGATATCTTATGAAATATTCCCCCCCAAAAAAGAGGTAGCAAAAACTTCAAAGTATCAGATATGCTGGAAAAAATAGCTTGAATTAAATGATTTGGATAGATTTGAGATAGAAAGACTATGACAGAAAGAAAAGAACAAAGAAAGAAGAGTAATGTTTCCTGACAGAAAGAAATAGGAGAGATGGATTGAGCCACCTGGATAAAGTCACAGGAGAAAACAAGGACAAGAAGAGCTTGAGAAAAGCTGGCCACATTTTTCCCCACTTAGTGTTCAGGTTTCATGGGGACAGTAGGAGCTGATTTCTTTAAATGCTAACAGAAGCTGAGTTTTCCCTCTCTTCTTTCTGCAGGGGACTACCTCCGTGAGAACAGAACGGCTGTAATCTAGATAAAGAAAAGCAGGCCCATTTGACAGTCAGAAACAGTGGGAAGGCACAGGTATGTCCACTGCCTCTTCAAAGCCCATCACACTCCTGCCTCCTTTACAGCACAGTGCCAAGCTGCCTCTTGGTGCTTGACTTAATGGTACCATGAAGGAAATCTCAGGCAAGTGTAAAGAAGGCTACACTGTGCGAGACATAGAAGAAGGAGCTGGGTGTCCTTCCAGCTCTCCAGAAGTCCGCTGACAGATGGCCACATCTCCAGGGAGCAGAACTTGGTCAGAGGAAGTGACTGGGCTCGGGGGAAACCAGGTCTCTATGCGCATGTATGCTAGGGTGAAAGAGAAGGAAATACGAAATGGGACAGAACAGGACATGGAGATCAGCTTCACCATTACTTTCACTGTCAGCCCTCTTTTTCTCCTTCAAACATTTCTCTCCCTAGTATCTTACTTGTGCTCTTCTCTTCAATAATTAGAATTCTCTCTTCAAAAATATTCAAGCTATTCAACCCAAGACAGTGACTCTGCTCATAGTTACGTTACTGTGACCTTTTCTTGTCTCCTTGGTGTTTATTCTTACATACACAGACGTGCATACATATGAGCACACATACACATTGATCTTGTGCATTGAAAACATAGATTCATGAAATGTTTATCAACTGTTTTGGCAATTTATTTGTGTAACACTGCATCCTAAGCACTGTTGTTATTGCTACTATGTCATACACGGGAATTTCTGTCATGGAAGACAGCTAAGTGAATCAATAATAACACAATTTCTAATAAGTGAAAGAGCTTGTTTTCAGCCCTTTATCCCATATTCCATTCGTTCTAACACATCAGCATGTCTTTGACATCATCTTACCTGATTATCAAGGTCCTCGTTCAAATCTTTATTTCTCTGTGATGTCTTTCTAAATATATTGATCTACATGATTCTCTTTTTTGAATTATAGTACAATAACAGTGATAATTTTAAAGGTGAAATATTTAGCTGGTCTTCTGCAGTGTACAGTTTGCTAATGTGTAATCACTTACAGAAGCTATATACTTTTATTTTAAAGATGTTTATTGAACACTAACCATGGAAAATGTACTATTCCAATGAACCCATTTTATTTTTTGACCAATTCAATTATATATATTGTATTCAACCAACTAGTTTGGGAAGCAGAAAATACATTTTCTCTTTACTCCTGTATAATCAGCTAAATCTTTCTCCATGCAGTGTCTAGACACATAGTATGTGTGCAATTAAATCCAACAACATGAGTCATAACAAGTTAAATATAAGTCATTAGCTATGTTGGTGCCTTCTGTTGTTGCTTTTATGGTTACTGAGTCTCAATTTCAGAATGTTTCTATTTCTCAACTGCTTAGATGATGCCAAACCTTTGCAACTCCCAGGGTTCTGGTCAATCTGCATGTGTGCCAGCCTTTAAGGGAGGCTGACAAAGCCTAATGTGAAGAATAATTTCTACCTCTATTTTTTTCTACTGCTAATGTTGCATGTTGAGCCAAAATACAAACGGCATCCCACCAGCCATATTGTAATACATTCTAAAACTGAGAATCGCATTAGCAAGGTAATCTAATAGGTGTTTCTGAGAGAGGAAAATGTGCATAGTCATTTTCTAAAGGAGAAGGAGAAAATGGCCTCCAATCAGATAGTCGTCAACACTGGGAAAAGAAAGTCCAACCCAAACGAACCTGTGCTTCCTTGCTGCACAGCTGTCTCCTTCTTAGCTGCCTCAGCTGCATGTGCTGTAAACTGGAAGATGTGAATTCTGTTTACCATCCTGATGTGTCTCTGCTGCAGGAAAATGAAGTTACAAATTGAAGGTAAGCATAAAATCCTCCTGGAAGAAGGTGCCTTTAACATGAGTTGAAAGACTGAATGTTTTGTTACATTAACTAGATCAAATGTAAGACAGTTTCTTAGTCTTATATGAGAACTTATAGATTGTAAGCTATTTTCAATGTTGAAATAAAAATAAAAGACCTAACCCTATTCTGGCATTGCTTGAATCTTAAGAAACTAGGGTTAAAAGCAAACACCAAATCGTTTCCTCTAGAACTTTATGCAAGTCACTATAGAGGTAGTAAGAGTGGGGACATATACTTATCAATGTTGGTCCTGATCCTCACATGGGCTATGAAATGGAACCAAATCATAAGAGATAATGGAGCAGATGCAAGAACATTCCTATAAATTAGAAGCCTAAAGCATAAGGTTTTGGTAGATAGTAAGAGAAGTAAATCTTTCCACTTGGAGATTTTCCTTTCTCTTATACTGCTCTCTTTTTCATGTAGTGTTTAACAGTGTGTGCAACCTGAAACATGTTGAAGGACAAGTTATGGGATACCTTATGAATATATATACTGCTGGGTGTGGTGGTGCACACCTGTAATCCCAACACTTGAGAGGTTGAGGCAGGAGGATCACTGAGAGTTCAAGGCCAACCTGAACTACATAGCAACACCCTGTCTCAAAAAAACAAAAAGAATAAAGAAGAATATGTATGCTACTAAGAGATATTTTCAAATGTATATTAAATACTAGTAGAGGCACCTTAACAACGGTGAGCTTGAATAAATGAAATTTATAGGGGATACCGATATTTTAAAATGTGACTGTTTATCATAGCACTTTCAGAAGCAGAATAAAACTTTATACTCTCCATATACAGAGGGGAAATCCCAATTAAATATGAAAAGAAGAGACATTTGTACATAACAATTATTTTGTTCCCTGAGGGGAAAAAACATAAATTGAACAATAGGATGATAAAAAATGGACGCATGACAAGAGGGTTGGCTGATGTTAAGAAGATGTAACCAAAGCACATAATCAGAACGCAAATCCTAAGAAGGCTCACTAGGCATTCACATTCAGAATTCAATGGCATAAAACCAAATGTATTACATGGATCCCAAGACTGAAGACATTCAAATCATATAAGAAAGCAACAGAAAATGAAAGAAAGTTGATGCCATCAGATATCTTCCTGTGAAATAAACCGTGCTTCTTAAGAGGAAAGTGTGCCAAAGAAAACTTAATGATAGAAGATTTAATACACTGACCTGAGAGAAGACTTCAACTGAAGATGGAAAGGAGTCAATGTGTGCCAATTAAAATTAAGCCACGATATCTAAACATAATCTGCTATCACTTGTGTCTAGCTTCATGTGCTCACTGGTGGGGCTTCTCAGAGGTGGTTGAATCTAGGGTGTGTGATACTGGGACTAAGAGTGTGATAAGCAAATCAGTACAACATGGTTCTCTGTGGATGATGGAAGGCCCACTTTGGGTAGGCGTGGCACCACTCCAAAGGTTTGCAGCCTAGATAGGATAAAAGGAAAAGGGAGGATTGCCGCTGCAGCTGCTTGCCAGTTGCTGCTTCCTGCCCACCCTGCCACAGACTGTTTCTCCTTTGCAATGCTCCTCTGCCATGCTGCCCCGCCAAGGAGTCAGCCAACAATTGACAGAAACTACAAACTGAGACAAAATAAACCATTCCTCCTTTCACTTCTGGTGTCATGTATTTTGTCTCAGCAAGGAGAATGGAACTGAGACAATGGCTTAGTGAAGTAATGGTTGTGAAGATAGAGTCTTACATTTATCTTTAAAGAACAAAATATCACATATGCCCAAATACACCAACATCTGTGATGACTAATGTAACTATTTCCAGCTTTTCTTTTTTTTTTTTTTTCAAACTTTTAAAACCTAATGCAAGATCTTCTAGGAATTCCTAATTTTTTAATTTACTTCTTCAGGATATCTAAATCCATGCTTTTTTTTTTTTTTTTTTTTTTTTTTTTTTTTGGTTTTTCTCCGGTACCGGGAACTGAACTCACGACCTTGTGCTTGCGAGGCAGGCACTTTTTGCCACTGAGCTAAATCCCCAGCCCTGTAAATCCATGCATTTTAAAACTTGCTGTTGAGAAATTAGGCTTTATTCCTTTATCTTTTATTTTTATTTTAAAGATAAAAGGAGGGAAACATTAACAGACATACAACATTTTACAACATATCACAAGCACAATACAGACAATACAGAGTTACAAACAAAGTGGTAGGGAATTAACAATGGTGGTTGTATTACATATTGATATCTTCATATTCCTTTATCTTAAATAATAAAATGAATTTTGTTCAAACTCTTGACATGTGGCTTTTGCAGCAATGTCTTATCATCACCAGAGTGTCTTTAGGATGAACTGACCTGTTAGATTAAAGCATAAGAAACATTCAAATTTCAACTAATTTTTTGTACTTCAAAAAAAATATTTACAGTTAAATCTAAAAGTCTTACCAAGCCCAGGATCTCCCATGCAAGTTCAGTGAGTTACAGTGTAATCAAAAGAAATTTTATGCAAAGCTACATGTTTTCATTTTAATAATACTGGATTTAGTTTTAACATCTTGAATAATTTTTGAACAATGTACTGTCACATCCTAATGCTTTGTAAAATCATTTTCAAATGGCTCAGTTATAATGAAACCCAGCACTTCCAAGTATGCAGTTGGGTCTACAAGAAAAATGAACAGATTTCAGTGAAAATGCTTTGCGTTCTGGTTCATTGGATGAGTTTTGTGAATTTCTAAAGTTAGCACTGATTGAGGTGGTGTCAGTGGACTGTCTTTCTATAACAGGATTCTGTGTTTCTTGTAAGCAAAATGTCTTAAAGACTTGGTAAAAGTCAACACCTATGCTGAGGCTGGCTCTGGATTTCTCTTTTGTATCATACATACCAGATCCTAACGGAACAAATACTGCAGACTTTCACACTTTGTGTTCCTCCAAGAGGCATTACATGTGTAAAGATGAAATGACCCTCATAGTTACAATCAAACATGGAATAGTTTGAACTATGAGCAACATATGAAGTAAATTCGCTGTAAATATTTTATTAAAAAGTTATATTTAATCTACAAAAATCTAATTATAATATAATTTTAAAAAATACATAGTTGGACCCTGGAAGGAGAAACTGGATACTTAAAAGGACTAATTCATTCATAAATATAGTATAATAGTGGTTAAAAACCTATATTTATCCCCACATCAGTATCTCAGGCACCTGTGAACCTGAGTACATTACTAACTCCTCTATCTTCCCATTTATAGCACTGAATACACCTTTGATGGGCTCATGTGATTGTTATGAAGATCAGGCACATCATTCATTCAAACTCTGTTTAGTTTAGTTTAGTTTTGTTTATTTGTATATGTTTGCTGTACATAATGTTTACATTACTTGTGTGGAGTTGGTACATGTACATAATATATCCTTACTCTTTATTTTCATTTCCTTTCCCTTTTCTCCCTACACCCTCCCTTCATCTCTTGGTCCCCTTACATTTGTGAAAGATCTATCTTCCGATTTCCCATTATCTGTCTTTTATCGGGCTCTTTAATTATAATTTGGAATTCTTACATAAGGAAAACCATGTAATAGTTAAACTTGTGGGCTTGATTTATTTCCCTTAACATTATGGACTCAAGATGTGTCCATGTGCCTACTAATGGCTCCAGTTTATCTTTCTTTATGGCAGAATAATACTTCATTGTGTATAATTGCCATGTATTTTTATCCACTAATTTGTTAAGGCCCATGTGGGTCGCTTTCCAAGATTTAGATACTATGAGTCGTGCTGCTATTTATATAGGGATGAACATATAACTGTAACTTTAACTTTATTGGGAAGATATCTAGAAGGAAACTAGCTGAGTCAAAAGAAATTTCTAGTTTTAGTTCTCTGAAGAACCTCCATACTGATTTCTATAGTGATTTTAGTAGTCTACATTCCTAGTAGCAATTCACAAGGGTTCCACTTTTCTCCACAGTCTTGCCAGCATTGGTTATTATTTCATTTCTTGATGATGGCCATTCTTTCTGGGGAAAAATGGAATATCAGTTGTTTTAATTTGCATTTCATTAATGGCCAGTGATGTTAATTATTTCTTCATGTATGTATTGGCCCTCGTACTTTTGCTGTGAAGTATCTATTCATTTCATTTGCCCATGTTTTTGTTTGATATTTTATTTGAGGGGGTAAGTCTTTTGAGATTTTATACATTCCAGATATTAGTCATCTGGCTGAGGAATAGCTGGCAAAAATGCTTCCCATTTTGTATTTATTCTTTTCACTCTGTTGTTTGGTTCTGTTTCTGTACAAAAGCTTTAGTTGGACATAATCCCCATTTGTTGATTCTTGGAACTACTTCCTATGCAGTTGGTGTTCTGTTCAGAAAGTCCTGGCCTACACCTATGACTAAGAGTTTTACCTTTTTTGTCTTAGAGTAGATTCGGTGTTTCTGTTTTACATTTTGTTTTCTGATGCATTTTTATTTTAGTTAAGTACATGGTATATAATCAATTCAATCTTTTGACTGCAGATATTCAGTTTTCCCAAAGCCATTTATTAAAAGGCTATCTTTCCTACCGTGTATATTTTTGACCCTTTCTCAAAAGTCTAATAGTTGGATTGTTTATATATCTTCTATTCTGTTCCAGTGATCTTCATGTGTGTTTCTGTGCCAGTATATGTTGTGTCTGTTTTTATCACTGTAGCTTTGTAATACAATTTCAAATTCACAATTGTGATGCCTTTCTTTTTGCTCTTATTGTGCACGATTGCTTTTGCTATTCCTGATCTCTTCTGGGTCCATATGAATTTTCAAATTTTTTTCTCCAATTCTGTGAATACCATCTGTATTGGGCCACTACGAGTATAGTGTACTTACTATAACTAAAAAAGTATTATATTATTCATAGTGATAATTTAAGCAGTCTAGATTTACCAGTGAGGTCTGTTATAATTTTTATTTAAA